TGCCGGGCCTCCCCAATTTGCGGCGGACCTGTCCTGCGATTCGTTTCCCCCGTGATCACACACCGTGGCTGCGCCGCTCAAGAGCCTGCCCCTGATGCCGTCAGTGCCTGCTCGCCCAGATTGCTGGGTGGCGACATGCACAGATACATGCACATACCCCATTGTAAATTCCTCACATCACTCTGGGTGCGTCAGGATCCCTCAGGCAAAAGGGGAGCAGGGTCCAGGAGGGAGGGGGCGGGGCGGTTGCTCCGCCATGGCGTGCACGCCGCGCGCTGGTCGGCAATCCGCCCGCCCAGAAGTCCCTCCCGCCCAAGTACCCCTTAAATTGCGCTGCCTTCGCCCGTCCTTCTCTGCTGTGGCCTCGTGAAGCAGGGAACACGCGCAATGAAGGTCGCAACAATTGTAATTATGCTGGTGGCCGCCAGCCCCTCGGCGCTCGGCCGTAAGCTTCTGCAGGACGGGGTGAGTACGGCGATCGCGCGGCGTTGGGTTGGGTGCTTGTGCCGGTAGCCAACGCGGTGGGCATGGCCGACATGCGCGAAGCCTCCGACCCCCTCCGGTTGCCTGGCGCATCCCGCCTGGGCTTCCATCAAGAGCATCGCCCAGCAATTCCGCCCGTGCATCGCCACCTGCGCTGGACTCCAGGAGGCCGCGCGCTGCGCGCTGCCTCCACATCCTGGCTGCGCTACAATGGGCTGAGGCAGTCCCCAGGCCGCTAGGCCAGCGCGGGATCGCCGCCCCGCCCGTCCCGCCTCCCCTTGCCGCCCGCCGCTGCCCGCTGCCGCCGCCCCCTGCCGCGCCCTGCCACCCCACCTCGCCGCGCCCCGCCTTCCTCCCTGCGCAGTGCGCCGATTTCAGCGCCCTGGCTTCTGTGCCGGAGGTCAGCGACATCGTCAGCATCATCAACGGTGAGCGGCGGCGGCAGGCGGCAGCTCGCCTGGCGGCGCACAAAGCAAAGCAAAGCAGAGCAAAGCAGAGCAAAGCAGAGCAAACCAAAGCAGAGCAAAGAAGAGCAAAAGCAAAAGCAAAGCTCTCGGGAGGCTTGTGGCCAGGGTCCAGCCGGCGCCGGGGCGCGGCCAACCGGTTGCGGCGGCCGTGCGCGCCCTGGTGCCGCTGAGCTTCCTCCTCTGTGCTGCTGACCCTGCCTCCTGCCTCGCCGCGGCCGTGCCCGCAGGCTTTGGCCTGCTGCCCGGCGGCATCCCCTCCAACGTCACTGTCTTTCTGCCCAACAACGACGCGGTGGCGGCGCTGCTGGCGGGGGTGCCCTTCCCGGTGCGCTGCGACCCAGCCAGCCAGCCAGCCGGATCGGGTCGCGCCTCCCTGCCGGCCTGGCCGCGGCGCACGCCGCGGCTGTGCTGGTGCTGGTATATTGGTGCTGGTGCGGCGGGCGCCGCAGGGGCTGCTGCCGTGTGCGTCCAGCAAAGCGGCGGGACTTCCCCAGCCTGCCGCCGCACCCACGCCGCTGGCCCGCCTCGCCTGCCGCCTGCGCGTCCCTCCTGCCTGGCCCTGCCGCCCGCCTGCAGGGCCTGACCGTGGAGAGCCTGCCCTCCCGGGCTGCCTCCCTGCCGGCCTCCCTGGGCGTCGTGGAGCGGGTGGGCGCCTGCCGCGCTTTCTTTTTCTCCCTTTCTTTATTCCTCGTTTCTTCTCCTTCTCGCCGGTGGCCGCTTGCATTACACAATGAGATCGCCAGCCCCGCCCCGCCCGGGCAGCCGCACCCGCCTCCTCAGCTCTTGCGGCCCCACCCAGCCCCCTCTCCCGCCCTCGCCGCCACGCAGCCCGCACCCAGCGTCCGTGCACGCGTGCACGCCCACCTACCCTCCCAGCTACCCTCCCACCCCTGCCCGCCCCAAGCTCACTTGTGTGTGCCGCCCGCCGCGCCGCCTTGCCCCGCCTTGCCCCTGCTGCAGCTCATCTCCGCCCTGCTGTACCACATTGTGCCGGGCGGCGCCTGGGAGCCCGAGGCGCTGGTGGCGGAGGGCACCCTGCCCACCGCACTGGAGGAGGTGCACCCCGGCTTCGGCCTGCAGGTGCGGCGGGCTGGCTGGTGTGGGGGGCCATCCGCCTCAGAAGGAGCCTCAGCATGCACCAGCCACCTACCACTAGCACCAAGCACCACCACCACCATCGCACACCCACCACCACCACCACCGCCGCCGCCACCACACGCTGCCACCCATCCCAAGCCCTCAACACACGCTCCGTCCCTCTCCCTCCACCCCCATCCACCCCTCCCCACCCGCAGTTTGCCGAGGTGGGCCCAGCCAACTACACGGTCACCACGGTGGCCGACGAGGTGGCCTCCACCTCAGACCCGGTGCTGGCCTGCGGCTCCGCGGTCTATGTCATCGACAAGGTGTGTGTGTGGGTGCTGCAGAGTGTGTGTGTGTGTGTGTTTGGAGGGGGGGTACGCTTGACACTCTATTGTCACCGCCTGGTACCGCCTGACTGCACCGCCTGGCTGTACCGCAGGTCCTGGTCCCCGCCACCGGCCTGCTGGACCCTGCCTTCCCTCTGACCACGCTGGACGAGGCCCTGGCGGTGCTGGGTGGTGGCAGCCTGCCCGCCGCCCCCGCCCCCGCGCCCTGACCGCCCGCCCCTATCGTGGGTGCTGCTTGTGCTGTGGCCCGCCCGGCACGTGCAGCCCCCAGCCAGGGCCGTCGATGCTCCTCTCTGCCCGTCCGCCCATCTGTGCTCGAAGGCCCCACCGGCCCCCTGCGATTCATCCGTATCGCCTCCCAGGATTCTTCCTCACATTCTGAGCTGCGCACCTGCCTGACTGCGCGGCGGGGCGCGTCCCACATTCGTGGACTGCCCCCGCCCGCCTTTGGTTATAAATAATCCTGCCGCTGCTCAGGCCCATTGCCTGCCCGGCCTCCTCCCTTCCACCCATCCAACGCACAGCCCGAGCTGCGCAGTGTTCACAGCTTCTGTAACGCTCAGTCAGCTGTGCCCTTTTTGTTGATGCGGTCCGATGCTCACTAATTAGAGGACATCTGTAGCAGGAAGGCAGGAATGCAGGGTATCACATTCACGAGCCTATGCCAGTGCTGCAGCATGGATGCTTGCAGCTGCAAGCGGCGCAGGGCGGCGACAGGTGCCTGCTGGGCGCCTGCGCCACAAAAATCAAAATGCAGCTGCCACGTGCCCCGCGCCGGGGCCGTCTCTTTCGCTTCTCCGATCGCCCTCGGCGCCAGAGCACCGCTCTGCACGTCTGTGGTTGGGGGCCGCGGGAGCGTGACCATGCGGTTGCTAGTTTGGCTCGGCCTCCTGGCCTGCGCGGCGGGCGTGCAGGCGGGCCGTCGGCTGCAGCTCGACGCGCAGGCAAGCTGCGCAGCGTCGCCGCAAGGCTGGCCCGACCCTGCTGCCGCTCTCGCTCGCCCCCGCCGCCAGCTGCCGCCAACGCGCCTCCTGCTGCTTCGCCTTCCTGCAGTGCACGGACCTCTCCTGGCTGGCAGAGGAGGTTCCAGAAGCGGCCTCCATCCTCAGAATAATCAAAGGCACGTCCAGGGCTCGAGGGGTGGCGTCGTGACGTGCTGGGTGTCGCCGCTGCCGCCGCCCACGCCAGCTCCCCGCCGCCGCCTGCTGTGCAGCGCTGGGCCTGCTCCCAGACGGCATCCCGCCCTCCACAACCCTCTTCCTGCCCAGCAACGAGGCCACTGCCGAGCTTCCCGCGGCGCTGGACATGCCGGTAAGGCCAGCAGGGGCCAGGCAGGCTGCAGGCCACGGCAAGCCGCTCCTCGCTCACCGGCAGCCCCACGCGCACCTCACAGTGCCCAAGCTGCTCCCGAGGCAGCGCAGCTGGTACTGCACAGCCCCCCGCCACTGTGCCCAGTACCATGTACCGTGTGTACTGCTGTAGTTCACTGTAGATACCATCCTCGGCGCCGCCGCCGCTCTGGGTCCCGACATGCTGCGCCGGGTGAGCCAGCTGGCGGGCGCCTCCGGCCGCCTCCTTAGCCGGGCCCAGCCCCTGTGCACACCGCTGCAGGCCCGCGCAGCGCACCCAGCGTTGCGAGGCTGCCTCTCCCGCCAGCCCCTCCCGCCTGCCCCTCCCACCTGCTCCCACCAGCTCCCCAGACCCTCCCTCCCTCCTCCTGCCCGCAGCTCAACTCCGCCATCCTGTACCAGGTGGCGCCGGTGGGGGCACTGGATCCCCCCTCCCTCGCCCGCCTGGGCCTGCTGCCCACCGCCCTGAGCGGCTCCTCGCTGACGGTGGGCGCCGCCGCAGCCGCAGCCGCAGCCGCGCACCGGCTGCGGGGCCGCGCCGCCGCCCGACCCAGCTGCCCTCCCGCCCGCCTTCTTGAGATGTGGGTGGGCAGCGGGGGATGGGTGGGGCGGGCCGCCTGCCCTTGGTTCCGGCTGGAGCAGCTGGCTGGGGCGAGGCCGGGGCTGGGGGCCCAGCACTGGCACCCTGCGCTGGCGGGGTGCCCGACGCTCACCGGCGCGCCTGCCGGCCCCCTTGGCCGCAGGTGGAGGGCGGGGAGGAGGTGGCTGGGGTGAGCACCGAGGCGCAGCGCGAGGCGTTCTTGGCCCAGCTGGCAGAGGTGGAGGACTGGCTGTATGGCGACGGCGAGGCGGTGGGGGCTGAAGAGTACAGGTGAGAGGGTGTGCTGGTGTGTGTGGGGGGGGATGTACGTAATGTTTAGTTGCCGGTGTGACTGCGCGCTGCACCTGCTCCCCCCTCCTGCCCCCCGGCACACACGCCACACGCGCGCGCCCCCCTGCTGCCGCAGGGCCCAGCTGCGCA